AGAAATTATATTTAGGATTTCTTTTTCAATCACTTATCTATTCGTGTTTTATGTAAAGACAGTTCAACAAATTTGAGAGCAAACTTAGAGAAGAGATAACAAGAATATTGACGTTTGACGCGAGAAATTATATTTAGGATTTCTTTTTCAATCACTTATCTATTCGTGTTTTATGTAAAGACTGTTCAACAGAGATAAAAAGACAAATTAAACAGAGAATAAAAATAAAATTAAAAGTGTTGTGTGAATAATTAAAAATATACTTATAAAAATAAAAATAAAATAAGTTAGAAAAATAATTAAAATAAAAAAAAGTTAAGTACGTAATTAAAAGGAAATGATTGAATTAAAGCATAAATGGAAAACAATGTAATTTTGAAATAAAAACGTAAAAAATTGCATCGTTATTTTTGTGAGCGAATCACTTAGCAATTGAGAAATACTAGTCCGAATTAAAAAGAACAACATGAAAAGGATAATTGGGAAATTAATGGGAAGAAATTAAATAGTAGAGATTAATTAATCGCAGGTTAAGGCCAGAATCCAGAATGAAATCATTGTCTTCGGAGTAGTCGTCGCGGTTAGGTGATTCCCCCTTCGTTATGCATCGCGTGCACCGCAAGGAAGTACCGTTGAAACCGTACTTTCCTTTTCCTACCGGGAAAACGTCATTTCCGATTACAGGTTTCAGGAAAGGTAACGATCGAAGGAGCGCGCGCCAAAGACACAAAGCAATTCGCTACCGCAAAAACTGCGCAGTGCTCGTTTCGCATCTCTTTTGGGAATATTTGAATATCTTTACATTTGGATATTATATCTTACATTTATGTACGCATATTTATTTATGCTTATGTATGTCAAAAAATGTCAACCTGTATTAAAATTTATATGGTATATTTCGGACGGTGCGGTCGTCCAGAAACGAGTTTTGTTCCTTTCCTTTCTAACTTTTTGAAGCGATCGCATTTAACGGTGGACCGGCGTGAAAAAAGTTGTGACGCAAAAGCCGAGAGGTGAATCGGTAACGAGCCTGAATAAAAGAACAAACTGTTTTATAGCTACGTAATCTTAAAAGGGATCGAAAAATTTCAAAAGATACAAGTACATTTCAGATTAAATCATACTTCTCGATAACCAATAAGTTTTTTTTAAATTAAATTCTCTTGAAATTTAGATCTCTAATCACGATTCGATATTCATTTAATTTTCCTAAAGTTGATGTCTCCATATCCGCAATCTTCTTAACGTTTAAACATAATATTTTCGCAGATATCAATTGCATTATCATTATTATTTTTCACACTACGATAAGATAAAAAAGATAAAAAGATACAAAAGTCAAAACAGTTTTATTATTTATAGGATTAATTACAGAGATAATTTTTGCTGCATTTATGTGAATCAAGATTGATTCACTGTATTTGAATAAATATTTAAACTTTCTCTCAGAAATTGTTTCAATTCTTTCTAAAATCGAGGTCTAAAGGAAAGATAACTGTAAATTTCTCGACGCTGCTTAAATCAACCTTCAAAAGAATTTCCCGTTTCATACGAAATTCATCTTAAAGCGGAGATGATTGACCGCAGTTTCGTCGGCGACACGTTACCGAAAGTACACAAGGCGGTAAATTTTTTATTTATCAAAATGACGTGTATGTATGTGCACATTTCACGCGCGAACTCGTCTACGTTTGTTTGTGTTCGTGCACTCGCCACTTTTAACCGTGATATCCCTACTTCTTTCCTGTACGCCAGCCAGGCGGTAGAATTACTAGAACGAATACCTATCTACGTGAGGCCCGACCGGCCCGAGAGCTCAACTTGCGACAGTTGTCGTTCGGTCGCTCTCAAAGAGCCATCTCGGCTTCGCCGTAAGTTGGTTTCCGTAGGATTTCTAATAAAAAAATCTTGAAGGACGGCAATACCTTAAAGGACTCTACAGAAACTATCAAGCAACATTTGACGCACATTCAAGTACTTGTCAAAGGACTCGTGAGGAGCTGTCAACACAAAACTAGGAAGAATTTATTAATTAGTTGGACGTTAATTGCAAGACTTTGGGGTGAGTCGAGATTCATTCATCATTTTTAATTTTATTTATGTATGTTTGTCATTTTTTGTATTTATATATTTATAATATTTATAATTTATTTTATTTATCGTACATCTGTTTAATTTAATTTGTTTTGCGTGATTAAATCTTTAGTAGATATAATAAAGAAATATAACAAGAAATGGATATATGAATGTTAAAATTAAGAACTCAATGTAATGCAGCTAAAGTTAGTCGGTTATCGCAAACATATAAGACGTCAAAATCTGCCGGAAAAGCTTTAAGCACAAATAATAAACAAACATGTAAGACAAGTCGGAGGAGCAAGTCTAGATCATAATTTCGATCACCTTGAAAGCCTGAAGCACAAATGGCGCTATACGTTAGACGCGGAATGAAACGTTTGCGATTCAAATCAAACTAGCATTTAACACGACGTAAGATGCCAATCATGGTCTCTTCTAGTAAATACGTGACGTTTGTACAAACGTCCAGCTATTTTCGCATTTTATCGTCGTTTTCACGTCGTTTTCACGAAAGTCACGCGCTATGTTTTTCCATTGTTCCTGATATTTCCATTGATACGCGCAACTCGACGGCATTTTAGAATACTTCTTGATTTTTGAGAAAAATAATTGTTATTAAGAAGAAAAATGGTTAATTATCATATAAATTATATAACATGCTTTGCAAAAGCTTATTTTATTAAAGAAATATTTTAATAAATGATTTACTGTATCGTTCACATAATTATATTGCGTAAATTAGAATATTTTTGGATGTGTAGACGTTGGATTTAATTAGATATTAAATTAAAATTGCGATATGAATTTGATTGAAAACTGTGATCACGTGAATAAAGGTAGAAAATAGAGATACAAATAAAAACTTATATAATAAAATTATGTAAATATAAAGGTGTATATGTACATAAAAAATATACATTATATAATCCTTTTTGTGTTGTTTAGTGACACCTATTTCTTTGCAGTTTTTCTATACTTTTACGTATTTTATAATTGGTTTGCGTATTTGATATTGTACGTTAGAAGTTGAGCAACTCGCGCTCTCGTTTTACCCCATAGGCAACCAAGCCGTGACGCTGCTGCGGAATATAGAGGCGTTATTGGTATATTCACATCTAGTTATTTCAGATGACGCTGTGTTCTACGGCGTCCATATAGTAAAAATTTTTCTCTGTTGCCTAAGTTCGTTCTAGTTCCTTCTCGACCTCAGCCTCGTACAGATGTACACGCGATATACTAATAAAGCAAAATTTCAGTTCATTAATCCTAATCGATTAATTTCGTCATCCCTGACCTGCCAATTCTAACAGATACCATTATGTTTCTAATACTTGTATGTGTGCCTACATTAATAATATAAGTATGTAATTATTTTCCCGTTTTTTTGGTCTTACCTAATTTCTAAATTCATCTATTACTTCTAAAATAAAATTTTTTAAATCAAAATTTGACACTGCAAAATTTTCTTGTAAGAATTTTGATAATTTACTTATATGTAATTTATATCTGCGGTATATATACTTTTTATTTATATTAAACTTTTTCGTTAAAAAAAATGCCAAAAATTTTTTTGATATTAAATCCGCCACTTTGATTTATTGAATTTCGATTTCAGATTTGCAATTAGCAACTCCAAAAACCTCCATATACCTACTAAAATTCAACAAAATATGTTCAATTGCAGAAAAATTTGTACAACAAAGGAATAATGGGGAAAAAAATAATTAATTTAACGATTAAATTTTTAAATCTAACCGGGCATTAAAATTAAAATTAATATATTTTACTTTAATATATACTTTTATTTTTTAAAAACCTTAGATTTTAAAATAATATTTAATTAATTTAATTTAAGCCAAATTAAGCTTTCACCGATCGATGAAAAAGCTATTAGCCTAAAAAAAGTTTCGGCCTAAAGTGGAACGAATGGATCGCCGGTCGGACATGGCCGATCGTCGATCGATCCTTTAAAGGGATCGAGAAGAAGCCGTGCAATGTCCACCGAGAAATAGCACGGAAAAATAAAGTGGTGGGGAAAAATCCTGAGAGAGACCCCATATATGGATAACGATCTCTCTAACGGTTCAGATAAATCACTGGAGGATCTAACGGGTGATTTATGCTTCCGATTCGACTGGTCTTCGCTTTCGCGGAACGACCGGCGACAAAAGAAAACGAACCCGAGGTGGATTCTCAGATGAACGGTAGAACGGAGGGGAGATTTTATTGCCAGGTGGAAGGCAATATTGATAATCGCAGAAGGCGAGAAGGACCTTTATTTTGTTCGCCGTCGAATGTAGCGAAGCGTGTGAAAAGGAAGCCAGAGGAGGGGCGGTATGGGAAAATGACAAAAACTTGTGACAGAAAAACCGGAGAAACGAGACCGCGCACCTGGAAACCTTCGAGGTTTCGTTACCTATCTATTTATAGGACGTGCATGTTGCGCACCGTTTTCTGTTGCAGCTCTGTTGCGATCATTGTTGACAGATGATTGGAATGATCCATATCGAGATTGCCAGATCGTGTGAAATCTAAATATTCAAATTTTGAGACGACTAGAATTAAGTCATAAAACACACTTATACAATCTTTAAATAAACAATTATATAATTACATTATAATTAAGTAGATATAACTTGAATTAAAAAGTCATATAAAGATATTTAAAAAAATGTTAAAATTACACTTAATAATAATAAAATAATTAAGGACTCTCAATAATAATAAGAACATAAAAGAAATTGGCAATAAGAGAGTCGACGCGGTTATTAGTACGTAATGTCAAAAGACAGATACATTTGCATATTACAAATTTCCGGACGTTTCGGCTCTTCTTCGAGTCATCCTCTCAGCGGTACAACAATAAACCATTCTCCATCATAACCATGAGCGTTCGGATTAGGAGGTCGGAAAACCATGAGAACTAAATGATTGCTATCTATAAGTGGTCAAACATAATTAATGAAACAAAGAATAAGAGCAATAACTCATTTTTATCTGAACACTCACCAGATAGTCCGGAGAACGGAGGATGGTTAACAATATAAAATTACATTAAAGATTAAAGTGTCCATGACATGTTATTGTCACGATAGATTGCACGACACTGTGAGCCGTTAAGTGGAATAAGAACAATTATACCAAGTAAATTAGGAATCTTGTAGGTCATAATGGAAATAAAAGTGTAAATAATAAATAAATAAATGTATATAAATATCATTCTCAGACCAAGGAACAAACAAGCGCAATGTTACAATTTATTTAAATTTATTTAAAATAGGAACGTATGCATGATGTAGGAATTTAGTATCTTTTTGTAAATCAAGGCTATTAATTTGCAATTTAATGTAAATTATTTTTGAAACAAGTCGTTTTTATAGATACATATTTTTCCTTGTCATAGACTGCGACATTCTCCCAGTCGAACTCATGATCAAAATTTACTCTATGTTCCGTAATAACTGAATGTGTATTCGTATTCCAACAAATGTGATTTCCATTATGACCTACATGACCCATTCCTAATTTACTTGGTATAATTGTTCTTATTCAACTTGACGGCTCACAGTGTCGTGCGATCTATTGTGACAATAACATGTCATGGACACTTTAATCTTTAATGTAATTTTATATTGTTGATCATCCTCCGTTCTCCGAACTATCTGGTGAGTGTTCGGATAAAAATGAGTTATTGCTCTTATTCTTTGTTTCATTAATTATGTTTGACCACTTATAGATAGCAATCATTTAGTTCTCATGGTTTTCCGACCTCCTAATCCGAAGACTCATGGTTATGATGGAGAATGGTTTATTGTTGTACCGCTGAGGATGGCTTGAAGAAGAGCCCAAAACGTCAGGAAATTTGTAATATGCAAATATATCTGTCTTTTGACATTACGCACTAATAACCGCGTCGACTCTCTTATTGCCAATTTCTTTTATGTTCTTACACTTAATAAAATAGAAATTGTACTATCATGCATATGTCATATTACAGAATAAAGTAAATAGCAATAAACAATAATATGCAAATAATAATATAACATATGCTGATGACATTATGCGAACGAGAGCACGCTTCATAATATTATACTTTCGAAATTAGACAGCGTTTTGTGGAATTTCCTAAGGAAATTTTTTAAGCTATTATTTGTGGAAAGATTCGCGTTTTGATAAAAAAGCTTCCATAACGTTTAACACATAAATAATCGCCAGTACAAACAAGAAATAATTGTTCTATCTATTAGCACGCAATTCGCAACGTAAACTTGCGTTGTTGTCGGCGCGCGTTCGTGATTTGATTAAATCTTTGCGGAAAAAACGCATTTACTTCATGATCTTACAGCGATGAAATTAATGGCAGGAAGGCTAAATAAACGATGGGAAATAAAGATTCGACTCGAATTTCGCAGAATTTCCCCGACACTGTCGCACGCCTCTATATTAACGTGCGAGCGTTAACCGCACTTTTACAAGCCGATGAAATTGTCGCGGTCAAGCGGAATTCATTAATTCAGCTAATAATGCCACGCGGACAAAATGTTATAAAATAGAAAGTCGCGCGAAACGTTAGAAAATATGATAAACGACATGATGATATATCGATGGTTTGAAAATGTGTGTTGGCTCACAGAAAAGACGGATTTGAGGCCTGTTAAAAAAATGTATTTTTAAAATATTAAATTTCAGAACATCTGTAAATTTTTATTTGCTGAACGCGTATTATAATTATTATATATTAATTATTAATATCAGTAAATTGATTAATTAATAAATATTAATATATAAAAATATATATATTAATATTATAAAATATAAAATTTCTATGAAATAAGTATTAGATTTAAATTCTGTAAAATATTAATTATTCTAAATGATTTCTCGGCTTACAATCTATATTCGCGAAAATCGGGATTGACGAACGATCGTGTGATCTCGTATAAACACATCAACAAATAAATCCGGTTCCTCTGACTTACCGGGCTTTCGTAACGGCGAGATTTAGCAAATCGGCCATGCAAGCGACAAATAGCTTTATGACAGAGTCGAGCGGATGCGAAGGAGGAACAATCTCGGGCTGTGACATCATCTGTAGGATCGGATCATCTCGGCTCACGACTTTAGTAATGACGCCTGTATAATTGCGTAATCCGCGTGATGGCATTTTTGGAAGAGAAGCCGGTTTGCCTCTGACGATGATTTGTTGCTTGAAACATTTATCGGCAAAAGAAACGTGGTAAAAGGAACAAATCACGAAAAGAAATCATAGTTCTGAAACAAATTTAAGACATTAATAGTAAATCCACAATTTTTTTAAGTAGGTAAAAATAAAATAAAAATTGCCAATTGCATCTTTAATGTCGTAATTATTCGGAAAAAACTTAATTAAAAATGTTATTGAAGAATGAGATTAATAAAATTTAAATACAATGAAACATAATTTTAGAATCAGTTTTATCGAAAGTTATAATAACTTATACTATTTTTTATTATTCTAACTAGATATATATAAATTGTATTTAACTTAATTAAAAATTAATTAATTCGTTGTTTTACGCATGCAACATGAAAAAAAACTTAATTGTGTATCTAATTAAACATGATATGTACTAACAATAAGAATGAAATTCTAATGTACATAGAATAATTTTTATTCTTATTATTCTTCATTAAAGCCACGCAAATATCGCAATTATATAATTTTCAATTATATAATTACGTCCAATTCTCATTTTTCTTGTTCTAAAGAAGCTATTTATATTCTTTCCAAAATTGCAATACAAACAATAACACAAAATTGTAAATTATAGAGTAGTAATATACGGACAATGAAATATGTGAGCTTTTTGTTTTGATTGGAAAAGAAAAACACGGTTGCTTGTAATTAAAGCGCGTAAAAGCGTTCGATCAGCGAGCGATTGGCGCGATTAGGTAATTCGAACCGATCGTTTGAGGTAAGGATGTAACGATCTGCATACGTAATGCAGTCTGGCGAAGCTTTCGTCGCGGCTGCGCTCATAAAACGTCGCGTCCTCGATCTAGATCCACTCCGTCGATCGACATCAGAGCCGCTAAACGTCGCTAAAAAAGAGTGTTAAAGCTCAAAAGAAAAATCCATTTTAAATTTTGAACGTCTAAAATGCTCTTATTTATTCATATTACATAAAGACGATAACGAATTAAATATATTTTGTCTCTTGGAAAAATGCCGTTAAAGTAATAATCCTACGTCATAAAATCTCAACAAAAATTACCCTAGTATTAAAATTTTTTGTTACTTCGAGATAAACATTTTTTTACTCTTTATTCGGATTACATATATTTGTTTGTAATACATATATTTTTTCCCCTCTTCCTAACATTGATTCCATTTTTCACTTACTTTTTGCTTACATATCTCAGATGGTGAATCTAAAGAATGCTCTGGGCGCTGACGAGCTCACCGACAAGAAGGTCGGTCTTTCTCGCGCCCTTCTGGCGGAATTCTTCGGCACCCTGTTACTCAACTTCTTCGTCTGCGGTACCGTGGTGACCGGAAGTGTCGTCGCTATTAGCTTGTGCGTTGGTCTGGTGGTGGCGGTCGTAATCCAGACGATAGGTCATATCTCCGGGGGTCACATCAATCCGGCGGTCACGTGCGGTCTCGTTGTCATTGGCAAGGTAGTGACAGATTTTATATTAATATTCAATAAAAATTTCAGTATTTTTAACTTGCCCCTGTAGAAAATTCCTCTAAACACTTGATCTGTCTAAAACCTTCTATTTAAAATCGCTTTCAATCTGATATAATATATGTGTATACGTCTATCATATGTAAACCGAGAATCGTTTATTATTCCGCAAATGAAATCTATCCTAGAAGAGCCCGAAGAATTCGATATCCCGCGATGAAAATCGATCGTCTTTGCATCTATAAAGAAACAGAACTATCTGGACGATCAAAACAGATCCCAGTAAATTTCAAATAAACGCGTTAATAAATGCAATTAATTTTTATATTATCACATAAATGATTCTAGTAATTAAAAATCAATTGAGTATGGTTGATTGAATTAATTATGTGGCTTATCCAATCAACTTGAACTATCTGTTCAAGTTCGTCTTCTTTTCTTGCCCAAATGTTTCCTGTCGGTTAATTACGGTAACAATTCTCGGTCGCAGGTACCAATTATCAGGGGTGTTCTGTACGTTGTGGCGCAATGCGCGGGCGCTATCGCGGGTTCGGCGATCATAAGAGCCCTTTCGGCCGATACGATGGAGGCTTTCCTGGGCGTGGTGAAGCTCTCCCACGGGATCACTCCAGTGCAAGGATTCGGCATCGAGTTCTTCCTCGCTTTGCTCTTGGTGCTGGTAGTTTGCGGGGCGTGCGACGCCGCTAAACCAGACAGCAAGGGCATCGCGCCTCTTTTAATCGGCCTGTCGGTCTCCGTCGGCCATCTCGCCGGCGTAAGTACTCCGATTCTAATCACAAAGACAGTTCCTACTTATTTTAATTATATTTTAAATATTTAAAAATAAATCTTAAAATTGTATTAAATTACAATTTTAATTTAATTCAAATCGAATTTAATTCGATTATCCTAATATAATACATTTATTTTGTACTCTTTGAAGTTTAAAATTTCAAAATTAACTCTTTATTATTGTAATTGCTTTAAAGTCTTATTGTTAGATGTCTTATAGAAATTCAAGAGTTATAATTTTGTTTTGTTTTTGTTATTATTTTACGTTTTTGTAACAATATTTTAATAATCAGATACCGCGAACGGGTGCGGGGATGAATCCGGCGCGTTCGCTGGGCAGCGCCGTGGTGATGGGCGTCTTCGACAATCACTGGGTGTACTGGGTGGGTCCAATTATGGGCGGTATCGCCGGTGCACTCATCTACGTGCATGCGATCGGACCTGCCAAGCAACCGGAAATCCCCGCCAGGACTTATGCCTCCGTCGCCACCGACGAAAAGGAGGTACATCGTACCACAAGAATGTGAGATCACTTTCAGACACGAGTAGAAAATATCCTGTTGCCGAGATCTCATAATCAATTTTATCTCATTCTCAATTTTCCATAAATTTATTAAGTCTTAAATTTTCCTTAATTTCTGTTAGATAAATTTTCCAATTTTCTTAAACTTTTTAAATAATTAATAAAGAAGCTATACATTTTTATTGAGTTCCTTGATTTTTTTAATAATTTATTTAATTTTTGGTAAACTCTTCATGATTATTCAGATATTTCAATTTTTTCAATAAATAAAAGATTAAGTATTGACTAAATTAAGTATCGAGCTTTGGATATTTTTTTCAAATTGTCAGTGTCTGAAGGTGGCTTGAAAATATTTTAGTTTCTAGATACAATGTAAGTCTGGCATCTTCCTATATGCATTAACAAACGTTTAATCCGCATGAAAATCGCTGCACTGAAATACGCATTAACTTTCCACTTATAAATAATACTATTTATTAGAATTTCGATATTTTTTACTTGACGATGTGACTTTTCGGGAGCACAAATTCTTGTCCGATTCTTGCAAAGGGTACTTAATAAAAAAATTTATTCGTGCATGCTCATAATGTATGATAGTAAAATGCGATAGAAATGCGTTTTTATCTTTCGAAGAAAAACATATTTTTTTTTTTTTTTAAGAAAAAGAATCTCGTTCAAGATAATTTTTCGTACCTAATTTTCATAGAATTTTCACAACATTAAAAGAGTCGAAAAAAGAAAAACCATCGTTCAGAAACTTTTCAAGAAAACGATAGCATACAAGATATACTTGCTTTTATGACTATTTCGCGCTCTTTCTTCATTCTTTACAAAATCTCCCAACTATTTTGCACCGGAACCAAGTGCACCACTTTTGCCGGGATAAGAGACTTCCATTCTAAAGTCCACGATCGTCTCTATCCCACAGAGGTTCGAGTACATTGACAGCGGACGTGGCGGACTTTAAGATACGAAGATGCCCAGACGTACAAGAGCGATCTAGCGATTCGCCCGTAGTATAGAACTTCCGCGTCTAAAAAAAAAAAAAATTAAAAGAGAATAGCGAACATCCTTGTTTTACAGCTCCAGAATCTTGCCAGCAGGAAAAACGCCAGTCTCGCTTGACGCTCTTAACCGACTCTAACCGTCTTTCTCTGCCAACTCGCCAATCATCTTTTATCGTATATAATGTGATAAGAACTATCCGACAGCTTTTATATGTAAAAAGTACCGCGCGTGCATTTTGAAACTGAAGTTTATATAAAATTGCTTTCTAATGGAGTGATGTTAAAAAAAAAAAAAACACGATTGTGACGACGTCGATTTTTATTGATCCTTGAGGAGATAGGACGATCTACGGGCGCAATCATTTGCATTTCAATTCGCTGACTTTAAAATAAAATGTACATGTTTTTCATAATTAGGTACAGTTAGCAATTTTTAAAAGTTCAGCAAGAGAGATATTAACGTAATTTGAAAATGCCTTTAATGCTTCAATTATTTAAGGCATCATAGAAATATATAGTCACAAAGAAAATTTAATGCAACTAAATAAATTAAATTGATAGTTAAATTTCTCAAGAGAATTCCATGCTTTATAAAATATTAAGGCATTAAGAGTCTCTCTCTTTTTTTTTTCTTCCTATAATTTTTTGCCAATTTATAACAATATCTTTCATTGCACGAATTAAATTTCAAAAAATTTGATTATACGATAATGATATAGATCGTCGTCCTGTAATCGTGAAAGATTCGAGTGTGAAGAAAGCCAAAGAGATCTTTTGTCACGAAGTAACGTTGCCGACATCTCATGCCACATTGAGTAACACACACGGAGAAAAAGTTACGGTTGCTACAACAGAATAATGCTGTTAATTTTCGCCCATCCATACAAAAGGGTTATGGAAACCATAGTACTCTGGAAGTGACCTATTGTTTCTATATGGTTTCCATATGGTTGCCCTAACCTTAGTGAGGGTAGCTACTATATGGATGTTGCAACCATAATATATGGATGTTACAACCATAATAAACAAATATTCACCCGACAAAAAATAATTATTTATTTCGAAATTTTATTACTACTTTTTAACTAAATTTGTTTCTTAAGATGCAGTCCATGATTATAAATATTTTTTCGCATTTAAAAACACATATAAAAACACACTTACCTTGGTGGGATTCGAACTCGGGACCTCTGGATCGTGAGCCAACTGCCTTACGTGGTAGACCACTTCTTAATTTAATGTTAGTGTTATATTTAGTCTACATATGTCAACCAGCGCAAATATATAATTTTTCAAAAATCATCTTAAGAAACAAATTTAGTTTAAAAAGAGTAATAAAATTTTGAATTGGATATATGATATAATATATTTCTTATAATGTCGGGTGAATGTCAGAAACCAGTGTCGGCTCATTACGAAATTTTGTGTTTGTAAATATATTTATGAAAAAAGTATATTTATAAAGGCCTATCTACATAAGACGCAGAACGCGAGTCGCAAGACACACGCACAGTCTACATGTCAATCTAACCTCTATACACAAAGAGGTTAGATTGACATGTAGACTGTGTGTGTGCTGGCGACTCGCGTTCTGCGTCTTATGTAGATAAGCCTTAAAGTTAAAACATCCTTATCAAATTCACTTTATTCTATGCAGAAATTCTTTCGCGCGCGCAATGGAACTAAACTCTCAATCATGTGTTCAGTGCTGTACCGTGCAGCTATATCTTATGGATCTCTCAACCATAATAGTTGTGCTGCAGATCACATAAGAGGGATAGCAATAATCCTTTGGTTGAGGCAACCATATACGAGGGTATTATAACCGAATGTTACGTATCGTAAGAACTACGGTTATGACAACTGTATAAATGGGCATATCTTAACAGCTACATTCAATGTAATATCAATTTAACTTGAATTCACATACATTTCTCTTTTAATCATAGAGAACATTGTTGTAACAACCGTAACAATTTTCTCCGTGCATATATAGCCACCCGTTTATTGCACAAGATGCATTTTGATAACACCTTTGATAATTATCGATCCACCTAACATTTGACTAAATTTGTCTGCACTTTAATCACAATAATACTAAATAAGATCATGCAGTCTGCTTAAACGTCATAAGTATGTGAAGCAATTTCAAATTTTAGCATTTGATAATGTTAGTGAATGCATATCTGTTAACTTATCATTTTATATTATATACATATATGAAAAATCTTAATTCAACCTTTAATAATTTATCCTTATTTAGTTACTAATTAATAAATAATAAATATTTTGCTTGCAAACAAGCAAGATTCGATCAGAGTAGTTATCCATTACCTTTTTTTTAATAAATTATCGTTTTTTATTTGCTTAGTCATTTGTATGTTTTATTAATTTATAAGCTTGTGTGACTTTTCGATATTTTCGCAATTAGATTAACGCAAATGCATGCTCGTAATTATTTCGCGTAAGTTGATACACAGATGATTGTGTCTCGACATTTTTTACCCGATCATCGTAGATCCCTGAATCTTTTGACATGTTCACATGCACGTAAGTTTATTAAAAACAAAATTGTAAGATATTTGATTAAAAACCATGCACTATATAATTGCTTAAAAGCATATCGTAAAAAAACGCGACTAATTTTCAAGTAATCGTGACTTTTAATTCATCATATATATTTCATACCTTGGCAACAAAAATATGCATTAATAGAATCAATCAATCAAATAGAATCAACAAGACAATATTTATATATTAATAATGATCATCAGAGGGTACGTATGTATTACTAACATAAATGTGAACGTTATATGTAATGTTGTATGAAATAAAATGTCTAAGTTTTTATATAAATCTGTCGAATTATTATTATCCTCTTGCCAATAATAAAACGCTACAATAATTGTTATACCTACTTGATACCTACTATATATAATATATAATTATGTAATAATTCTTACCTCTTTCTCCCTCTTTGAATTGCCTGTTTGTATATTAATTGTTGCTCGGAAGTGGATGGGACGGAGAAAAGGCGCAATAAATATCCAGGTGGACTTTCTACACTTACACACTTTTGTATTTCATATATAGTTCCAAGTATCTTGCAGAATATCGGGTAACCTACATGTTACCGTTTCAACTAGTTTAACGAAATAATTCTGTATATGATTACTGTAAACATATATCCATAGTTCATTATCTCTTATGTTCCCAACGTTATAAATGTGTTGACTTGCAGAATCAGAGTCCGTTGCACCAATAAGAAAACGAGAAAAAAAGGAGAAAAATAAATCTCGCGGTTTTAATATCTACAATTATTCTAAACGTAGGAGCAAGCTCGAAGAAAAAGAATTAATTTAATCGTAGATTAAGTCGATCGCGACTTCAATTAGCGACTTGCATTTCAATCGACGTTAAAAACCGGTTAGCTAAATCATTTGTTTCCGTGTTTCGGAAATGATAGCGTAATTATATAATTTAGAATAGTCAAATTACTCTAACATTTTCAGATTAAAATGCAGATGTCTTAATTACATTGAATTAAATAAGATATTCATCATAATTAAAAATCGTAAAAGTGACTTAATTGACTGGGGGGGGGGGAGTGCCAGGCGAATGACAACCGTTGGTTGGTGCAACTGGCCCTGGCTACGCACTAATCCTTAACGCTAAAAAAGAAGACAAATCCGACGACTTTTCTTTTCTTTTTTTTTTCCCTTTGTTTTGTCGTAGCGAAAGCGAACGTGCGCGAATGAAGAAACCGCCAGGAGAGACACGGTATGTACATATTTCTCACAGCTGTGATACAGTTCGCAAGTTGATGCCAATAAAACCATCCGGTGGCTGACCATATATTTACAATTGTCCTCTCATTGCGGATGTACCTAGTCGAACAACAATACGGGCGAAATAAAGGCAAGCATGTTAGGAATCGGAAACTCTTTCCGATCTAGAAATCGCTCTGTTCACCTCGAGAATTGGCATGAATCAAATTTTGCGATATCAGGGTAAATAAGATAAGATATGGCAGAATCAATAAGATACTTCAGAATGTTGCAACTTTCCAAGCTACCAGGAAAAGCAATAAACATAATTGTATAGCTACGAGAAGGAAAGCTTTGAAATGTACATAATAGGTATCTTGATACGTGTTAAATAATTAAGATAATTCGTCACGTTCGCGCGATAATGGTAAATGATACATGATTCGTTCAAGTCAGTTTTACCTTCGTCAAATCTATCATCTTCGGACAGAAAGAGGAGTGAAAGACATGTGAGAGAAATTTCGACGTGATCCTAATGCCCGTTCTAGACTGGAGGATGAGCCGACTCTCGGCTCATCCGCCTTCTATAGTGTACGTGACATAAACTATACATAACCTATAGATTTTTACCCGTCTACACCACTCACTCGGATGAGCCGAGAGTCGGCTCATCCTCCAGTCTAGAACGGGCATGAGAGAAGCGCGATCACCGAGCTTCGATATCGTCGAAGCGACAAAAAAAAAAAAAAAAAGTGCTTAAATCAAAGAAATGCAACGATATTCTTCTGTAAAAGCGTTCTCACACGATTGATTTAGTTTTAATATCTGTATACACTGTAAATCCAAATAGCTCATTTTACATGTTTTGTTGGGTGTTAAATTAACACGCTTAATCGCATTAAATTAAAAGTTAATACGGTTTAGCTGTGTTAAATGACGTAATTTAAAATGACAAGAAATGTGTAAGAAGAGCTTCAGTTAAAATGTCAAAATAACACACTTCGATTCGCAGTGTATGTACGTTAACGGAATATATAAATGCTTGTTGCTGTCAGTTTAATTCGCCGAAATTCTCGTCGAGTCTTGCGCAATTGGAAATTAACGTTGCTATTCTGAATATCAATGATACTGTCCAAGTTAAATTGCATTAGGATAAGAGAGACATTAGGACTTCATTTAGTATTTAAGAAAATAGATTAATAATTTTAATGAACGCTTTTTCATAATTATGTATATGGAAATGGGAACTCAAGATGACAGAAGAGACAAAGTCAATTATAAAAGCTAACATTATAAGAGTCAACTAGAAAAGAATAAAATTTTTAGAGGTCTTGTGATGTTATGTCAGAGTGTTCTAATATATTATTAAGTGTATTTATAATATAATATATATTAATAATATAATTTTAATATATAATTATAATATTTATAATATATATTATAATATTAATATATATTATATAATATCATGCATTGTAATAATTAACCCTATTCACTCCAACGTTTTTTTCGCCCCAATAACCCTCCAACCATGCACTTTCGAGTCCCACGTGTTTTTTATAATGTTAATAGCTTTGAAAAATTCCCCAAAAATTATTATAATATCTTTGTACCTTCGACTAAAAATCAATGTAAAGAACATTTGAAAATCATTTATTTAAATATTTTTTTACAACAATTATATGTTGACAAACACACGTTACGACTCGTTTTACTTAAAAAATCATAACTCACGAACAAATTGACGAAGCTTAATGAACCAAAACGCAAATTAAAGCTAAAAGTAGTGCAAATGAGAAAAAAAATATGAGATAATTATTAATTAAATAGGAATACTTAATTTCGTCGCCGCAAATTTGGTAATTTTTAAATGGTACAGAAGGACTTTAAGGACTTAAAGAATGCTAGAAAAAGAATTTCTGAATAAGAAAAGGCGAATTTAAAGTGTGACAGATATTTTTTATGTAAAAAAATTAATTTTTTTTATATAATCGTAGCTCCTCCCTACCTCTTCCACCTGCCTCTGAGCCATAATAGACCTCTGTGGAATGTTAAATTTCTTTTTTAACGATAAAAATATTTTAAATACGGTTAAATTATACACAAAAATATATTTTTATCGAAAAAAATGCTCATTTACCTTTCACACAACACTGACGTAATCCTCCAACCATGCACTTTCATGTCCCACCGAGATTTTGATTGTTCCCCGTTTCGAGAGTAAATGAGCTAGGACTTTGAAATTTTTACCTGAGGTTCCCTGCCACAATAACTTTTTTCCGGCGTGGAGGGGATTCTCCCACGATCATTTGTTTTTCGGAACAAACGACTGTTAGAAATTTGTGGGACACGAAAGGCATGGTTGGAGCGAATAGGGTTAAAATAATAAAAATAATGTGACTCTAATATATATATATATATATATATATGTATAATTCAAGAAACTTAATATTGTAATTATTATATAATAATAGTGTGTATATATATATATATATATATATGACTTTAAAGTAATTAAAGCTCGAATTATGAGAGTTGAATTCGATCCTTTTATTCCTTTAGCTGTGGCGCGTTTCAATTAAAAACCGTTTGCTATACACTGAGAAAAAAATGTTGTAAATTTGACTAAACTCGTTTAGTTGTAGTGATTTGTTTAATGCAAATATTAATATATTTAAATCAAATATACGTGAGTAATATCAAGAAATTCTGAATCTATTTAAATATAATATTTTTTGAATTAACAAATGTTAGCTTGACAGCCCGTGACCGCTGCATTTAGTTGAATCAAATAATATTTCTTTGAATCTACGATTTTTTTTTCTCAGTGTATATACGAAAAATGCTCGCATACAGCTTTTTTATAGACGGGAATAGACGGGAATACATTACGCAAATGAGAGGTTTCTTTTTCGTACGTATATATACGTCCTATGGTATATATGCGTATTCTGCAGCTAAAGTGTTAAAACGATCTCGAGCTTTATTTTATATTAAATGACTCAAACTCAATTTAGGTACATGCAAAATCAATTTCAATAATGCAATTTTTTTATACTTGCTTCATAATTGCAACGTTGTATTATTCTATTTTTTACTCAATCTCGATTGCATAATATCAATAATACCGATAATACGGTCCACTGCCGGAACGTTAATATTGACGTCAACCAAACTGAACAGCGATTAATTTTGAATACTAAGTATCAAAATTAATTATTACCAATCGTGCGAGAGACCTCAGAAATCTTACAGTGAATTCGAGAGCATGATTTTTACTTGGTGCAGCACCTCGGTCGAGCAAAAGAAAAAAAAATAGACCTCCTTCAACCCTCCATCTGCGAGAGCTTGACCTCCAAGCTGTCCTGGCTGTCGTTCGTGTCGTTCAGATTGATAGTGTCGTTGCCCTGCGACAACTCGATGACGGAATCGCTCAGACTAACGGCCGTCGATTTCTGTACCTCCAGCACGTCGTCTGACGCTTCGAAAATCGAAGTGGTCTCGGAGAGGTCTTGATTGTCCAGCGTGATAGCACCGGAGTCTGGCTGACTCTCCTCCTGCACGGCGATCACCTGCGTGGGCTCTTCCATCTCGGGGTCCAGTTTGATCTCCGTCTCCTGCGCGACCTCAACCTCCATCGCCGTCTCCTCCTTCATGTTCTCCTCATCGATCCTCTGTATGTCATCTGCATGACATCTTATGTCTTGATCCATCACCAAATCCTGCTCGTCGACTTCCATTGCCGAGTCGGTCTTTTCTTTCGCGGACGCGTTCACGTCCGACGTAGTCGAAGTTGCGATACCGGAAATCTGCGAGAGGTTACTCAGAACCGTCTCCTGCATCTTCACCACGTTGTCGGTAGTCTCGAAAATGCTGCACAATTCGCGGCTCATCTCCTCCACTTCCGACGTATCGCTCGGCTTCACGATCATGTAACGCTTGTTCGAATACACCTTGTTGCTGGAGATCGTCGGGCCCTTCTTCGGAGCTGGCGTGGCGGTTGACGTAGTGTTGCTGCTGCTGCTGCTGCTACCGGTCACCGTCGTTTTCAGCGTGCTCTGGACCTCTGTTTGAACATTTTCCAACGTCTCCTCTGCGACAGAATTGTCCTCTTGCTTTACCATAACTTGCTCCGTCTCGTCTTTTTCTGACTCTTGGGTCGGGTCACCCTTCGTCGTATCCGTCTCGTCATTGTACTCCCGCTCTTCGTCGTATATACTCTGTTTCCGTTTGACGAACACTCTCTTGAGCGGCAACTGCTGTTCATCCTCGGACTCGTCGTGTCGCTCCGGCAGCATCTCGTCGATCGCCTCGTAATCCTGCTGTGCTTTCCTCGCTTGCAGCTCCTCGATCTTCAATCTCTGTTGCTCCACACGCTTCTCCAACTGCTCCAGCTTCTCCTTAGTCTCCCGATCCTGCCCCTGGGCGACCACTTGCGTCTTTTGCGGAGCGGCCACAGTGGTGCTCTTCGGCGTGCCACCGCTGGACGACGCCAAGGTCTTCAGTTCGAATTTCTCGTTCAAAACAGCGTCCTCTGCTTTCTGACGTTGTTCCGCGGACTGCAACACCGCCTGTACCAGGTTCTGACTCTTGTCGAGCGGTCGCTTCACCACCACTCGCTTCACCACGTTGCCGGTCGGCAGTTTCGCCAGCTCTGCGGGATCTATCGCGGTACCGTCCGGATTCATGATAACTTCGCGAGTAGTGTCACCCTGGCGGATAATTCTACGAACGATCACTCGCTTGATTTTATGCGAGCCGGGAGTGCTGCTCAGAGAGATGTCCCCTTCCTTGACAACGGGTGTACTAACTGCCGTCCCTTCGTTGCTGCCTCCTGCCGATTTTCTCAGCACAATTCTTTTAATCACCTTGACGGTGTTGACAGCCTTCGGAGCGGATGCCGGGGTCTCTGCCTTGTCGCCGTCCTTGTGACTTTCCTGGGAAGCGCTCTGGGATCTCGTTACAGGTGCTAGCGACTCCTTAGACTGATCCTGGCCGGGGTTCTGCTGGTGCTTCAGTGGGATCTTGTGTTCCTTAAACACCGAAGCGACGATCTTCTGCACCTGCGCCTCAGTCTCATCCACACGGCCACTCTTGGAGCTTTCATCCTTAATCTGTGACGACGCGGAGCCTTTCGAGCTGCTTTGAGAAGCGGAGCTGGTCGGAGTGGTTTGTTTCGTGACCTTCTGCTCTTGAACGTCGCGACGCTGGATGGGCATCAGCGTCTTAATGGTCTTTTTCACCATATTGCCGTCTTTGCCACGCACGTATACCACCTTGCGTTCCTCCTTCTCTGGTTTATCGGGTTTCTCCTCCTTGTCTTCTCCCTCCTCTTCTTCCTCCTCCTCCTCTTCACTCTCCGAGGGCTTCGGCGGCTTCGGCGGTTTCGGCAACTTCTTCACAATGTACGCCGGTGGCTCATAATCATCATCCCCGTCAGAATACTGATCCTCCTCCTCTTCCTCCTCATCAGAATCCAATTCAAGATTCTTCTTGGTGTCGGGCTGCAAGCCGTCCGGGCCCATTTTTTCACCTGCCTCAATATGCTGCTTGATATGAGTAACATAATCGGCACGATTGCGACAAGATTCTTGACAAACGTCGCAAGTAAGGCCCATCCCCGTGCGTTTCGTATGCGTCAACTGGTGCACCTCCAGACTTTCCTTACGCTTGAACGCCTTGCCGCAGTCCTCGCAAACGTGGCGCTTTTCCACCGAATGCGTACGCATATGTCTGGTCAAATGATGCGACAGTAGAAACGTGCGCGGACATAATTTACACATGTACGGCCGATGACCAGCGTGAGTAGACAGGTGGCGGGCCAGTTTCGTACTGGTATGGAAGGCCTCCTTGCAGTAATCGCACACGAACGTCTTATCTTCATTATGCAGCACCTCGTGCCGTTCCAGACCCTGCTTGTATTGGAAGCGCTTGTTGCAGATGTTGCACTGAAACGGCTTCTCCTTCTTGTGCACCGAGTCCTCGTGCTTCTCGAGCTCTTCCGTGGTGAAGAACTCGCGGTCGCAGTGCTGGCAGGCGTACCGCGTTTCATCCCTATGTACCTTCTCGTGACGTTGAAGTAGATTCAACCGCGAGAACTGCTTCTGGCAGATCGAGCACGAGTACGGTTTTTCATCCGAGTGCGTGCTCATGTGCTTGCCTAAGTCGTACTTGGTAAAAAAGTGCCGATCGCACTCGGTGCACTTGTAATTGCGGTCGCGGTGCCCGCGCTGAATGTGCAACAAGAGAGCCTGACGCAAGGGAAACGTGCGTTCGCATTGATCGCATGCATGCACTCTGATCTCTCCTGGTTCTAATTTCCTGTCCTCCTTGATGTTGCTCACTTCCTGGTCACCCTCGCTGCCTCCGTCCTGCTCCTCTTCATAAAGATGCTCGCTGGCCTTCTCTCTCTGCTTTTCGTTTTGACGCTCTCTTTCCCTCTCCCTCTCCCTTTCTCTGGTCTCACGTCTCTCTCTGGTGTCTCTGCTGTCGTTATCAAAGGTACGTTGCTTCTTAGAGACCTCATTCTGCGATCTCTCGGCAGATCTCTTATTGCTGATATCCGTCGGTGGATCGGTGGGGAGGGGCGGAAAGGGTCTCGGCAACACTCCAGACAGGGGATAGTCCCTCAATGCTTCGTCGGCCTTCTTGCATTGCAGCTTGAATTTGTACGAGCGGTCCAGATTCCAGCGACACATGTTGCAGAGCATCTGCGGCATCCCGTCCGCGGCGTACACCTATCGAGAACAAAACGCGGTGGATCGTTAGCGACGTGCTCAGCAGTTGGGGTTCCGGAAAGGAGTTTCTTCGGCGTTGGACATTCAGGAGTTGCAGGAGAGGTTTCGTTGGATTCATATAATCTTCGACTTTGCAAAGTTTTATAAATTCAAAGGTAAATATACTATAAATCTTGTAAATTATTTATGTTTATTTAAATGATATAAAACACTATAAGTACGTATGAATAGTAAGTAAATATATGTATTATTATATTATATAATTTTGTAGGTGTGTATGTAATTTAAAACTTTATTGGTTCAGATGCTTTATTTGGAAAAATGTAAGAAATAATGAAATATATTCATATATATCACATCTAAATAAAATATGGAATATATAAATAAAAATATATAGATTTAATAAAAAAAGCAATAATGGAAAAATAGAGCATAAACCGAGATAAACATTTTATTATATAATATTCAAAGAATGGAACATATATCAGATTCTTTTTTTTATTTACTTATGTATAATACCCCTATATTTTTATAAGACTTCCATTTAAATAAAATTTGACACATAACACATAGCGTAATAAAAATCTAGAAACAAAATCCAATTTAATACAATATATATATATATATATATATATATATATATATATATATATATGTATCTATATCTATGTATCAAAAAATAAAATGCAAAAAATATGTGAGTAGTTGAACATTAATTAATCTCTTTCATTTTATAAATAAAATATAAAACAACATAAAAATATATATATTTAATTTAAAAAAGCAATAATAGAAAAATAAAGCATAAATATTATGTCTTATCTAATATTCAAAGAATGGAATATAGATTCCTTTTTTTTATTCACTTATGTATAATATCCCTATATTTTTATAGGACTTCCGTTTAAATAGAATTTGACATATAATACATGCATCGACATGCATTCAATTTTCTATGTATCGCGTAAGTTTCCGTTTTTTTCCATTTAAATGCGGAAAGACGCGATAAATATTAAAGCAAACGTATATACGATTATACGAACGAATAAAATACTCCATCAAACAAATCGTTGGACAAAATCGATTTTACTTTATAAGACAGACTGAAATAAATTATTTTTTATTTAAACCGTTCATTTATTAAAATTTAAAATAAACTGTCGTCATGCTCCGAAAATTCCGGGGCTCCGGGTGAGAAAGAGAAATCCGGCGGGAAATGCAATTGTCAATCGAACGTCATCTCTACGCGACCACCGGAACCGCGACGCCGAAATCCGCATCCGGCCGGCAATATTACCGTCTATATTACCGATGTCGCCGCGCGGTCGTACCGCCGTATATCAACTTGCTCCGCGACACAACAAAAGCACCCCTCGGTAGCCCGCACCTGCCCCTTCCGCCTCCTAATCAAATTCCCGCTGCGCGAACGGAGAGGCAAGCCGAGAACTCCGCGCGAGTCGCACCGAGTGCATGTTACCCGCGAGAGGAACTCCAGCGGTGTCGGAGCCACCGCGCTCCGGCGGTCGATGCCGCCGACGGACGCCGACGACCCGTTTGAGGGTATATCGTTAGCGGCCGGGGGGGGGGGGGACTCACCTCGATGGCGACGCAGGACATGATCTGCAGCGCGAGCGGCACCTGGAACGGCTTGTTGGGGTCGCGCTCGTAGATGAAGCTCAGCGGCTCCGAGTCCGACAAGCAGAAACGGCAGACGCGCCGCGAGCGCAGCGGCGTCGGCCTGTTCTCCATTCCGTCTGCCGGCGTCTCTTTTCGCCTCCTTCCTCTTCTTCCTCCTCTTCCTCCTCTTCCTCTTCCTCCTCCTCCTCTTCCTCTTCCTCTTCGCGGTAGCGTGTTCTGAGCTGCTTCTCGCGCTCACGCACGATGCTCGTCCCGCTTAGCAACCGCCGCGCGATTACGATTAACTACTCCGGCGGAGCAACTCTGCTGCCGCCCGACCACCGGGATCCGATCCGCGTACGAAATCCGCCGGACAACTCGCGCGGCTGCTACTTCGACTCACTAGTCACTCGTTAGTTGCTCGCTCGCCCGCTTCGCTTGGCTCGCTCGCTCGCTCACTCGCTCGACGACGCCGAGCGTCGGTAAGCGTCGTAGAACGTCGCCTCTTCTCACCGGGGAATAGCGGGTACGCCGCCACGGCGCTTTATAATGGCGGAAGAACGTGGAACAGGCTGGCCAAGCGTGCGTCGTCTTCGCTGCGTGGAGAAGACGCTGTCGTCAGCTTTTGCACAGTCGCACAGTGGCGCCGGAGCAAACATCGCTCGGATGACACGTGGCGCGAACGAGCCGCGCGGTCGGTGAAGTGGGGAACGCGTTTGGCGCCGATTGGTATGGCGAGTTTAGTGCGACTCTTCGTGGAGAGATGGCGCGTCTATCCTCGTTGAAGCCTTTGATTTGACGAGATGTTAGAGGCTTAGAGGCTTGAGAGAGTTGGGAGTTGGGTATTCTTCTTTTTGCGCTCTTTGAACTTGTTGATTATTCTTTTTTTCTTTTTTGCATATAAATAAAATAATATTGCTATATACACATTAAGGCTTTATAGGAAAAAATATAGTACAAAAAGGAAAAGAGTAATACAAATCGAAATGAATTATTTTTAGACCCATATACTATACGTTTACGCGAGCGTTACTTCTATAGTAACTTACGATATATATCACTCGTTTACGCGGAGTAAATTATCGTAAGTTACTAAATCCCGTTTACGCGAAGGAATTGTTGTAAGTTACTACAGAAGAACGCTCGCGTAAACGTAGTATAATAGTAAAAAATTGAGCTACATACTACGTTTACGCGGAGCGTTACTTCTGTAGTATAAACTTACGATAATTCCTTCGCGCAAACGGGATTTTCCTTCGCGTAAACAGGATTTTGTAGTAACTTACAAATTACGATAATTTACTCCGCGCGTAAACGGGTGAATTATCATAAATTACTACAGAAGTAACGCTCGCGTAAACGTAGTAACAGCAAATTGAAAGAAGATAGGATTTTTTAAAAAACCCGCGCCTATTTTAAATAGAATTAAGACAGTTTTATTAAATGACAATTTTAAAGTATGTAAAAAATTGTAAAAGATATAAATCTATTATAATAATATATATGTTATTCATAAATTGAAGCAAATTTTGATCAATGTTTCGTTTTGTTAATTTTGTATATTTTAAATGTGAAGAAATATTGCATTGAACATTCCAGCTATAGCTAAAAGACATAATTTTTCAGATTGTGACATATCTTTTAATATCTTTACGTTTTTAAGACGTCTCATTTTAAAAGCTTTCTGCTATAGCTGTGTGATAATTGTAGACCGTAATTTCTAATAAAAGAGAAAAAAAGTAAAAAAAGGTTCTCTTGTTTTTTTTTTCTTCCTACCATGCATTTAGCCGATTTAGCGCATCAACAATCGATCGCAGAAAATGACAATGGAAAACAAACATCGATTATCAAGATCAAGTCCTTATTACGATTTAACTTCACACGCGTGTCTGTTTATGACACGTCTTTTTTTTACGAAAAAGATGCACATTTTAATTTTGAATACCTTTCATATACTTTTTTAGATTTTAAAAATGTCACTTATTTATTATAAGTAATTCTACTAGCGTATTGAAAAATGTGGCGATTTTTGCGTAAAGCGCAACAGCAACGCAATCGCGATCTGGACGCTCTTCGTCGGGATATCGATACGGACGTGCACGTTAAATCGGCGGGGGATCTACTGCAAAGTTTACAGGTGGATCTTGAACGGGGTTTATCTACGACCGTTGCGAAAAATCGCCTACGAGATCAGGGCCCAAACGCCCTGACTCCGCCGAAAAGAACTTGAAGATTCAGAAGATCTTGCATCGATGCTGAGGAGGATTTTCCTTGCTCATATGGGTATACCTAGCAATTTTTGAATGATTTGATCTTTTCCTATTACACTACATGCATTTTGAAAAGAATGTTAATATTCAGGTATTTTTTTAAGTTAAGTGCCATATAACTTACAAAAAGACCCTTCTACAAAGGTTGACGTCACGTTAAATATCTCAAAGAAAAAAACTGGGCCTTATAGTCAAATTAGACAAAAAGAGAAAGAGAAGAAAAAGAAAAATAAATGCATGTATTATTTCACTATACAATTCCTTGTACGAGTTTACAGTCGCGAGAATTTATTTTTATTTAATTTTGATAAATTGTTTATTTATTCTTTAATTCTATATAATTTTATGTTTTAAATATATAATAATATAATATGAAGTTAGTTAATAATATAAGGTCTATTCAAATTTTGAATTTTTTGTATCAGCATTAATTATACCTATCCATTATTTCTAAGATTATATTAATTTTAAGCTGACATTTATTTTTATAGATCAAGTAAGTTTATTTTTTTAAACTTTATTTTCTTATTTTCTTACTGTCATATATGTATATAGCTGTATTGCATGTGTTTAAGTTAAAAATTAATGATCAAATAAATACAAAAAAAGTAGATCAATTAAATAATTACATATTGATATGTTAATGTAAAAATTTTTCCATTTTTTAAAGAACTCATTAAAATATATTTAACTTCCAGGTAGGAGCCATTTTGTGCTTCGGCAACTACTTCTTGGAGTTGGAGACTTACGGCGAGGCTTCCGAGGATCACCTCTGGCTCGGTGTAGTCCTGATTGTGCTGATCGTGATCACCGGCGCGTTCAGTTACTATCAAGACTCCAAGAGCTCACGCATCATGGAATCGTTCCAGTAGATGGTACCGCAACGTGTCAAGGTTCTGCGAGACGGCGAGAGAAAGGAGCTGCTGGCGACCGAGCTGGTGACCGGGGACATTGTCCTGCTGAAGACCGGCGACCGGGTGCCCGCTGACATTAGGATCCTGGAATGTCAAGGTGAAGTGTGTCCTGCCACCGCATCACGCGTGGGCTTCTTGTTTTCCTCAGAATAGAAAAAACAAGCCTTTCTCCTCGCGCGGACCTCGCGATTGAAATCTACGACGATTTCTCACTTTGTTCAATCTCTCGTCGAAAGAAAGTCGAAAGATATGAGAGAAGAATTATTCGGAGAAAAATAATATAAACGCGAGATTATACATCATCGAAAAGAGATACAAAAGACCAAATTTTTTAACTTCTACATTTCCGCGATCAATTTTACTTTTTTTTCTTTTTAAAATTTTTAGATTTAGATGATTAAATTAATATTTTATCAAAAGTTAATTGTAGTACCGGCATGCATCAGATAACATTTTCAACTTGCATTGTAGTAAAGGTATTAATAAACTTAAGTTGTATTTAAGGGGAAATCTTGTAAAAATATAATAAAAATTCTAGATTTTATAGCTTATAGAAATTTATTCTTTTCATTTTAACGAAGGTTTGAAGGTCGATAATGCATCGATTACGGGCGAGTCGATACCATTGATACGAACGACTAATATTCCGCAAACCGGAAATGTTATTCAAGCGAAGAATATGGTATTCTTTTCTACAGACGTTGTCAAAGGTACACATTGTTTACAGAAAAAAATAAAAATACTTTTCTATAATATAATATAAGAAATCTATTTCTCGTACAAACTGTAATTTATAGTTTAATTTCTAATAATGTTTAAAAATATATTATTTGAGTATTTTATTTTCTTATTTTAAAAAGCATATTAAATAATTCTTAAATCTAGATTTAATAAACAATTTTTATCCAGTTATTAAAAATTGTTGCCAAATCTATCGTAACCAACATTTTTGCTACATTAAGCATAATTGTTTCTTAACAGGCAGCGGAAAGGGTGTTATAGTGGCCTGTGGTGACCATACAGTGATAGGCAGAGTGGCAAAGTTGACTTCGAGATTGCCGGCCGCACCTACGCCTCTCTCCAGGGAGATACATCGCTTCATGAAACTCGTCTCGTGTTGAGCCATCTTCCTAGGTGTTTCGTTCTTTGTCATGTCCATGGTGATGGGCTACGACTGGATCGACTCAGTGATATTTCTGATCGGCATTATCGTGGCCAACATGCCGGAGGGCATTACCGCCACGATGACGGTCAGTCTGACCTTGACCGCTAAGAAGATGGCCAGCAAGAATTGTCTGGTAAAGAATCTCCAGGCTGTCGAGACTTTGGGATGTACCACCGTTATCTGCAGCGACAAGACCGGCACTCTCACACAAAATAAAATGACCGTACGATTCCGTTTCTCCTCTTGCGAAAATCTACTGCAGAAGTATATTATTTGTAGATCTGTTCGCATTTAGTTTTTTCCGTTTTTTTTTGCATTTTTTTGTTACTTTGTTACAAACGTGTGCACATATATAATTGTAACATTTTATGTATTTACTTTTTATAATTATGATTTATTATTATTTAGTTATAATTAATTATTATCCCATTATTTTATAATATATATTTATATATTATAAAATCTTTTATTAATGTCTACTTGTGTGTTTTTTATCTATGATTCGTTTTTGATATTTTTTCTGCAACGAATGAGAATTATACAATACTGTTTTTTTTTTATGTAAGTTATGCTTCTGTAGCTTTCACATCGATCTTTTAAACATTTTTACTTTGATCAAACTTCTCCGCGATTTTAGGTGCGACACGTGTGGTACGACGGTCAGCTGCACGAGGTGATGGCGTCGAATACATGGCGGAAATACGCCAACAACCCGGGTTTCGAAAATCTAGCCAGAGTAGCGAGTCTCTGCAATCGCGCCGACTGGGTACTGATGCCCGAGGACAAACCCTTGCTGCCGTTGAACAAAAAAAATCCTGGGAGATGCCTCGGATGCCGCTTTACTGAGGTGCATGGAGGTCCTTGTGAAAGGAGGAGCTGATTCCTTCAGGAAGGATTATATCAAGGTAAATGAGCCTGATTAAGTCTTCTGACTAAAAGATTAGAGAAAATTCAGAATTAAATTTAACATTCCAATTGTAAAAATGAACTGAAAATTATTGCCTTCAAATTTTAAAATTTCTAATTTCTAATTTTATTTAGAAGATTTTATCAAATTATACATTTACATTTATTTTAATATAAATTTTATCTAAAAATAATGAATTTTAATAACTATTGTTGAGAATACAATTTCCGTACTTTATATGTTCGCGATCAAATCACCATATGTATATTCACGGTTTTGTTCACGGACCAATCACGTTGGAGCGCCCGAAGCGCTATCGTATCTACTATCTAGTTACTTTTATTCTTTGCCTACGGGTGTGTCTCTTCGCGCCTTTTTCACAGTTAACACACTTTACTTTTGTCTCTCGTTCAAGTAATAAATATACCCTGCTGTGTATATTCCTGTGTGTTTCAATACGCCCTGCTAACAACTATACGTGTTATTAAAACAAAAATAAAATTATTATTATAATAGTTTGAACAAGAGAACTTAATGTTTAGATATTGGAGATTCCCTTTAATTCAACGGACAAATTTCAAGCGAATGTGCATTTATTTCGCGACAAGTATTTCATATATGTTTCAAGGGTGCTCCCGAACGTGTCCTCGAACGTTGTTCGACGGTAGCGTTCGGTGATGAGACTATAAGGCTTTGAACGAAGAGACAAGGACAGCGTACACAGAATCTTGTTATATCCTGGCGAACAACGGAGAACGCGTTCTCGGCTTTGCCGATCTTGAGTTCTCAAACAAGGCTTTCCCCGTGGGCTATCACTTTGAGGCCGATCCTCCAAATTTCCCCCTTGAAAACTTATCTCAGTTCGCATTTTATTTCTCTAAATTTTATTATTAAACATAGACTATAAATTTGTTGTCATGAGATCATAAGAGTTTGAAGTCTTTGAATATAGGTAAAATTTAATTTTTGCAAAAAAGAAAATTCAAACAAAATCTAAAAATAAGATTTAAAAACTTTAAATAATGAAACTCAATTTTTGGGACCAGGAACGTTTCTTATTGTTAGCACTCAAAAATAGCTTCAAGATTTAATTTTTCTCCCAAGATTTTGAATTCAATATTTTTCTATACTAGTATCTTTTAGATTTTATTATTCAAGTATTTTAAATACAATTCTTGGACTTTAATTTTTCTTTGGCAATTATTTTCTAAATCAACAAAATTAATTTTTTTTATCGATAGATCGGTTTAGTAGCCATGATGGATCCACCGCGGCCGACTGTGCTTGATGCCGTGTACAAGTGTCGTTGTGCCGGTATTAAGATCATCATGGTCACTGGTGATCATCCTGACACCGCCAAAGCGATCGCCAAGTATGTCGGCATCATTACCGATGACTATGATAATTCCAACAGCGATGCCAGGAAACGACACATCGTGGTGACAGGTGCGCAGCTGCGAGACCTGTTACCGGAACAACTGGACCAGCTTATCAGGCGATATCAGGAGATCGTGTTCGCCAGGACGTCGCCGGTGCAAAAACTGCAGATCGTCGAGAGCTGCCAGCGGTTGCATCTGATCACCGCAGTTACCGGCGACGGTGTCAATGACTCCCCGGCTTTGAAAAAGGCCGACATCGGCATCGCTATGGGTATCACAGGTGACCTGAATTTTTCTATAAAAATATTTTTTTAAAGAAAAATATATATAGACGACAAAGTTTCTAAAAGATACATCTAAATGTTCCTGTTGCTTTTAAGGGAAATATTGTGGTTCTTTAATTTAAGTAAATAATAGCTGTCACGACGATCTAGTCTCTAATTGTGATCGCCAGGATCCGATGTGAGCAAACAAGTGACGGACTTAATATTGTTGGACGACAATTTCGCGTCGATAGTAACGGGCATCGAGGAGAGCCGGCGGGTATTCGACAATCTCAAGTCGAGCATCGCGTATACTCTAGCGAGCAATGTGCCGGAAATAACGCCTTTTTTAGCGTTCATCGTTCTCGGAATTCCTCTGCCAGTCGGTGTGATCTGCATCCTATGCATCGATCTGGGGACAGACATGTGGCCGGCGGTCACCTTGGCTTACGAGAAGTCCGAGTCCGATATAATGTTGAGGTATCAAATATAACAAAGTTTTCCCATATATTACACAAAATCATGAAGGCTACATTACAAAAAGAAATGAAAAGAAATCTAATATCAAAGAATTAGCAGTCTCTAAATTATAAATACTTAAAAAATTAAAGCTCTTTGCAAAAAAAAATAATTGAAGTAATGAAACTATTTCTTCATTCGATTTAAAAGTAAATTTTAGCTAAATTAGCTAGAATTTAGTTCAAGGTTTGGTTATAAAGACGTTTGAAGTAGAATATTATACAAATTGCTGAAATATTTAAATATCTAATTCCATCTCTCTTATTTCACTTCTTGAATATTTCAGGAAGCCCAAAATACCCCAGAGTGACCATTTAGTCAGCCGGCGGCTGATCTTCTTGGCGTGCGGTCAGATTGGCGTGATTGAGGCGTGCGCGGGTTTCTTCACGTATTTTGTGGTGATGGCAGAGCACGGTTTCCTGCCTAAAAGATTGTTAGGTCTAAGGTCACAGTGGGATAGCCCGGCAGTAAACGACCTGGAGGACAGTTTCAGACAGGAATGGACGTACCGTACGAACAGCGCAAGATCCTCGAGTACACCTGTCACACCGCCTTCTTTGTCAGCATCGTGATCGCTCAAGTGGCGGATGCAATGGTTTGCAAGACTAGACGCAACTCGTTACTACGCCAAGGTATGGGCAACTGGGCCCTGAATCTGGGCCTGCTTCTTGAAATTGCCCTGGCCTGTGTAATCTGCTACGCGCCCCACATGGACCGCATTCTGAAGACGTATCCCTTGAAGCCAGAGTGGTGGCTACTCGGAGTGCCGTACGCCATCATAATATTAATTTACGAGGAGTTGAGAAAATGGTGGATTAGAAAAAATCCAGGTGGCTGGTGGGACAGAGAAACTTCGTACTAGGTGAGATAGATAAAGAGAAATCTCATAAACAATAATAAAGATTAAAAAATGCAAAGCCATAATTAATTTCATCTTCTTAAAAATTTGAGAAAGCTAAGTTTAGAGTTGAGATTTTAAAACAATTAAATAAAATTAATTAAAGATGGAAAGAGTTAATTTCTAAATTCAAGTATATTTATAAAAATTTTAGTTGTGTGTGTATTGCATTCTTATATATTGCACCAAGATGTAACAAAATAGTTTCGTAAATAACGACCTTTAACGGCTCTCTACTTGTGACTCTTTGGAATCACGCTGCGAATAACCCTTCACTTTTCTAAATAAATTACCGCAAATATATATATATATATATATATATATATTAGGGTGTGTCATTTTGGAGCAACTTTTTTTTTCATTTCACGAATAGCATATATACTTGCAGGAATAAAATAAGATACCTGTTAAAATTTTTGCTCTTAATATTAATATTAACAGGTCGCTCATCGCAATTTTTTATTTTTTACTTAGTAAGATTAAAGTTCAAAGTATAAACCTTAATATCGTCTAAATGGTTATATTTATGAAAAAAATATAAGAGACCTTTTTTGTAGATCGTTAAATTTTCTACAAAAATATGTATTGATTATTTCATAATTTTTGATAGTCGATATGATACAACATTCTTAAGAAGCAAAAACAAGTTTTATAAAATTTATCAAACTTTAACTTTGAATATCTTTTGAACGGTTAAATTTATGAAAAAATGATAAGAGATCTTTTTTGTAGAGCGGTAAATTTACTACAGAAAATCTATGTGGCGCAATGCTGTATTACTGTTTGTTAGATAGTTATAAAACTTTTTCTATCTTACTAAACAAAAAATAAAAAATCGCGATGAGCGACCTGTTAGGTATCTTATTTTACCTTCCTGCAAGTATATATGCTATTCGTGAAAAAAAAAAGTTGCCCCAAAATGACACCCTAATATATATATATGTGTATATATATATATATATATATATATATATATATATATATATATATAT